GTGATGAGCTGGGTGCAGCGACGCAGCCTCCCCCGTCCGCAGGGCCCAAGGCGGGAGGCGCCCCCCGCTGACGGACAGCGCCGGGCACAGCGGGCGCCCAGGTGGGTCACGGGGAACAGTGAGCATGGCCGTCACTCCCTACTCTGCTCTGTGCGGTCTGCCACTCCGACTGTCCCTGAGCTGGGTCCCCAGAGCTGGCCTCTCCTTCTTGGAAGGGGTGCTCTGAGCTGTCCTCGTCTCAGGTGAGGGGTCGGGGGTGGGACATGGGAGTGTCCGTGGTGCTGGCAGCAATGTCTGAGGCCCCGCCAGCCCATTGACATGTGGGGGAGCTGAGGTCTGAGAGGGTGGGTCCCATGTCTGAGGGGCATTTGAACCCAGGTCTGGCTGAATCTGAGGCTGTTTTCGTCCCTTCCCCTGGGATAAGACCCCTCCCCTGCGCAGGCCCCTCAGAGGCCTGGGGGGTGGCCGGGATGCCTCCTAGCGCAGAGCTGTCACCCGGGGCCCGGGGCCGAGTCTGCCTGCTGGAAGACGCCACACCCCCGCCCCACACTGCCTGCCAAGTCTCCCGCCTGCGGCCCCTTCTCCTCGTAGCTATGGCAATCAAAACACGCAAAAGCAACACTTTTTGCGTGATATCACGTGTTGCTTAATGTTTGGACACTGATATCTTCTCCAGCTGGGTTTTTCTTAATTTACGTCAACAAACCAATCTGGAAGCAAACGTACTATTTGCGTTTGGGTGCCGAACAGAAACACTAAGTGACAGGCAGACTTGAGATATGTCTGGGTGTGTGTGGGGAGGTGGCCTGAGAAACAAGGGAAGGAGGGGGACAGAGCCCCCGCCCGGCCTGGCACACCGTCGAAGGTCTGCATACAGCGGAAGAACCTCCAGGAGCGCGGGTGGGACCACGGGGGTCACCTGGGCCCAGCGGTCACTTCTGTCCTGCAGCAGCAGACTCCCTGTGCTCCTGCACCCACATCGGAGCTCACGACAGTGACCGCTTGGCAGTTCCTGTCCTGCAGCCTCAGACCACAGCGACTCCCGCTACCCGAGAGTCCCACCACCTATGTCCACGAACCGGCCACCACCGAGCCCCCTCAGTCGCCCAGGATGGCGCTCAGAGCCATGGCATCGGCGCCGCCAGGGCCGGTGTTCGGGATGACCTTACCTACGGCCCCTGTGGCCTTCTTCCTGTGGCTTTTCTCAATCAAGGAAACGTGAACGAGGCGCTGTTTAAAGGCTGACAGCATCGTTTCAGTGGTCACGGTGCCCTCAGGCTGGGCTGGGGCCCACGTGCATCTCGGCCCCATCTCGGCCCCACGGTCTATGCTCAGGTTCTCACCCGCCCCGCCCGCCAGGGTCCTGTCGGAGCCGACCCGGTGACGGAGGCCAGACGCTCTCCATCTGTCGTCGGCTGGAGCCACGGGGTCCGGGGACTCTGGGCGGCTGCCCTCAGTCACTTAGGGGCGCGCCGGGACCTGCGGTTTCTCCAGCTCCTGGCCTCGCTTTCAACTGCCACCCCCATCCCGTCAGACAGACAGACAGACAGACAGGGTTCTTGGCAGAGCTCACTTAAAACCCTGTCTTTCAAACTGATAACAGGAAAAATTGATGTGACCTTCAGCTTCCTAAACACAAACTTTCAATCAAATGCCCATGAACGAGAAAGAAAAAAACGCCGTAAGGCTGAAGGCGGAGAAGCAGTTAACCCCCCGTTGCCCGAGGACCTCCGCGTGCCTCTGTCCGCGACCTCTCCGCCAGGACGGTGGCAGGAAACACGCAAAGGACACGCGGGAGCCCAGGCGCATCACGCACACGGAGCCCGCAGGGAGCGCCCGGCTTAGGATCGGCCTTCCGGGAAAATCCTGTGCATGAAATAAAAACCATCTTTTCTCCCTGTGTCCCACATTAGGCCATTTATTTATCGCTTCGGAATCTTCCCGTGCGCAGCTGGAAACCGGAACAGCACGAAGGTCTTTGGCCGGCTCTGAGGTGACTGACACGCCGCCTGTTTCAGGGGGGCAGAGGTTTGAGCGGGTGCTGCGGCCTGGGGTCAGGGGTCACCGCTGCTGGTGTGCCAGGGGCCAGGGCGGGCCACGCGGTGCTGGGCGAGGGGACGGGACATGCCGGGGGAGCCTGCTCGTCCCGCACATGGCCCGCGTCGGTAAGCGTCGTCCTCGCCCGGGGCCACCCTCACGCTGCAGCTGCCCAGGAGGTGACGTCTGGGAGAAAAAACTTCTGTTCACAAACGGCCAAGTGGCAACAGCGACAGTCTCCCCGTCAGCACGCCTGCGCTGGGGCACTCGGCCACGCGGAAGAGGAGACGGAGCGGCAGACGGTGGGGGGCGCAGACCAGGAAGGCGGCACCAAAGCCGGGTCCGGGCCGACGCCCGCAGCGCCTACCCGGCCAATGGCCTAGTCGCACGAGGTCGCTGAGCAGCCATCCTGCGGGGCAGGAAGTGGCCACGCGCTCCACACCCAGGTGCGTCATGAACAGGTGAGGTGGCTCGCGTCCTCGGAAACGCAGCCGGCCCCCCGTCTCCAGATGCTGCCGGGCCCTCCGGCCTCCGGGGCCCCCACACCTCGCTGGGCCTCGGCGCGCCCAGGTGCCCTGTGTCTGGACAGCCCGTCTTCTTCTGCGGGTGAGGCTCGCACTGTGGCTCCACCACGGGACACGGCCACAGGACGCCGAGGATGGGGGTGGGGGGTTACTGGCACCTCACGGGGACAGGGGACCGGAACACAATGACCCTGTGGAAAACAGCCTCCCGCGTGGCCCAGGGCCTGGTTCAGTCTAAGCGTGGTTCCGGAAAAAGATGTTATTTCTGCATCTTTCA